TTTTTGAAGGGGCAGGGTGAGCCGATGCAACCACTGCCCGTATCCGTTTCACTGTCCCATGTAATTTTAGTAGTCCAAAATGAATGTGCTCTGCACATTCCGATTACTGTGGGACAAAAAGACGTTGAGGCGCACACTTTCATCGATAGCGGCGCAACCGGAATCTTCATCAGCCTGAGATTCATCTGAGAACATCAACTTCGGACAGAACCTCTTCCCCGACCCATCCCCGTCTTCAATGTGGATGGAACCCCAAACAAAGAAGCACCCATTATGCAAAGAGCTCTTTTATCCTACAAGATAAGTGGAGAACCCCGATTTGTCAAAGCCTACATCGCCAGCATCGGCAAGGAAGACATCATCTTTGGCCACACTTGGCTCAAACTCGAAAACCCCAAGATAAACTGGAAGACCAGACGAGTGGAGCTGAACCACCGGTGGACAAGAGATGAGACCAGGGCCTGGAAGATGGACCTGTACCAAAGGTGAGTGGCTCAGCTAGAACTAAAGAAGGCGGTAACTACCCCACTCCCAGAACCAACGGAGGATGAATTCATTGTCATCCCCACCTCTGAGCATGCAACCCTTCCTGAACAGAAAACTAGTGGCGCAGCAGGATACGACATCTCTGCTGTGCACCACCTCATTATCCCCGCCCGATGATGAGGCCTAGTCGGCACTGACCTTATCATGGCTATTCCCAAAGGACACCACGGAAGAATCGCACCCCAGTCCAGTCTAGTGTTAAAAGAAATTGACGTCGCTGTAGGAGTAATCGACTTCGATTACCGAGGCAAGGTCTCAGTCCTGCTAGTCAATAACTCTGACCTCCCATTCACCATCAAAGCCAGCGACCGAGTTGCCCAGCTCATCCTTAAAAGGATAAGCACTCTACCAGTATCACTAACCGACTGCATTGACAAAACTGAATGCGGGGAGGATAGGTTTGGGTCAACGGGTATTGCGTCTATCAAGGAACAAGCGGAAGACATCGACAATGATGAGTTCATCATTTCCTACTTATCTGGAGTGCTGATGATCACCAAGTATGAGAAACAGGAACCCCTGGCAGTAAGGGATGTTCTGCTCAAGGAGCGACTCCCCGAACTCTTGTCCAGCTACAAACGACTCCACAACGGCATGATCTGGAAGATCCACCACAACATTAGGCGCGTCACCACTTCCACTGAACTTGCAGCATCGAACGCCCAAGGCAAGACAGAAAAAATGCTACCGCAGATGGACCATCCTACCTACACGATCTCCTCCCCGTCTTCGACAAAGCCACGGCTGCGCGACTTCCAGACCACACCAAATATAACCACGAAATCAACCTCAAGGAGGGCTTCGCGGACATGAAGCAACAGGTCTATCTGCTCAACCCGCAGCAACAAAAGGAACTCAACAAGTTCCTTGAGGAGAACCTAAGTAAAGGGTACATTCACCCTTCGAAATCCCCATTAGCGAGTCCATTCTTCTTTGTGGGTAAAAAGGACAGTTCACTACGTCCCTTTCAAGACTACCGGCTGCTCAACGAAAACACGGTCAAGGATCGATACCCACTCCTGCTTCTATCCGACCTTCTGGACAAGTTGAAGCACGCAAAGATGTTCATGAAGATGGATCTCCATGCCGGATACAACAATGTCCGAATCAAGAAAGGAGACGAATGGAAGGCAGCGTTCATCGTACCCAGAACTGATGGCAAACCGCCGCAGCTGTATGAACCAACGGTGATGTTCTTTGGGCTGTGTAATTCTCCCACTACATTCCAGCGAATGATGAACACAATATTCGCAGACATGCTTCAAGAAGGCTGGCTTTGCATCTATATGGACGACATCACGATCTTTTCCCAGGACAAGGCAGAACACGAAGAACGAACACGACATGTTATCGAACGACTTCGACAACATGACCTCTACCTCAAACCGGAGAAATGTGCCTTCGACGTCACCGAAGTCGAATTCCTCGGCATGATCATCCGCCCAGGAGAAATCGCAATGGACCCCGTCAAACTAGCCGGCATTGCAGATTGGCCGGTGCCGTCCAACCTCAGGCAAGTACATACCTTTGTTGTATTTGGAAACTTTTACCACCGGTTTATCAAAGGCTTCTTGGACAAAGCGCAACCGCTGGTTGCTCTCACCCAGAAGGACGTTGCCTGGACCTGGGGATCTGACCAACAGAAAGCCTTCAAGACCCTCAAGAAGGCATTCCTAGAAGAACCGGTACTACGCATGCTGGATCCCGACCGACCCTTTGCTATTGAAACTGACACCTCAAAGTTTGCCACCAGAGCGGTGCTACGCCAACGTGATGACAACGGCGATTGGCATCCTTGTGGATACCTCTCCCAGAGCTTCAATGCAGCTGAAAGAAACTACAACATCTACGACAGGAAATTATATGCGGTCATCCGCACACTAGATGAGTGGAGGCACTACCTTATTGGCAGCCCATACCCAGTAACGATTCTCAGCGACCTTAAGAATTTCACATACTGGAAGCAGGCCAAAGACATGAACTGATGACAAGCACACTGGGCAAGTAAACTGACCGAGTTTGACTTCCGCCTGGTACACGTTCCTGGTACCCAAATGGTGCAGAGCGACGCTCTCTCCCACCGACCCGACCATGACGATGGCTCAAATGACAACACCGACATCGTTATGCTCCCACCGGAAGTATGTGTCACTGCCATTGACATTGACATCCACGACACCATCCTTTCTTTCAAAGACAACCCAATAATGAAGGAAGGACTCACTGCGGTGCGCACTGGAGGAACACCACGCACTGGAACAGATTGGTCCATCGATGATGACCTCCTCTTATACCAGGATTGGGTCTATGTACCCCCAGATGAGTCTCTTCACAAACATCTTGTCTCCCACTATCACAACCTCCCCTCTGCAGGACACCCTGGTGTTCAGAAAACCCTCCTCGATTGCGCCGTGACTACTGGTGGCCGAGCATGGCCCAGTTTGTCACTCGCTATGTTAATGGCTGTGGCATCTGCCAACAAATGAAGGTTAACACACATCCAGCCCGACCGCCCATCACCCCCATTCAACCCCGCGCAAATGCCAAACCCTTCAGCACATTCTCGTGCGATTACATTACCGACTTGCCACCGTCCAATGGCTTTGATTCCATTTTGGTCATAGTGGACCACGACCTTACGAAGGGGGTAATTTTCATCCCATGCAACAAAACAATTGACGCTCTTGGGACGGCAGATGCAATGTACCGAGAGGTCTACAAGTGGTTTGGACTCCCAGACAAGATCATCAGTGACCAAGGACCGCAATTTGCGTCCAAAGTCTTCCAGGAACTTTGCAAAATGACTGGGGTTCAATCAGCCATGAGTACGGCATTCCATCCGCAAACCGACGGCGAGACAGAACAAGTGAACCAAGAGCTGGAGATCTAGCTCCGCTGCTTCACTGCCAATGACCCGGATAAGTGGGCTGACCATCTTCACATCGTGCAATTTGCTCACAACTCCCGCAAGCACTCCATGACAAAGGCATCCCCGTTCAAACTCATGATGGGATACAAACCTCATGGAATACCCACCGCGCACCCCAGATCAAACATGCCGCAAGCAGCTTATCGCCTCAAGGACTTGCAAAACATCCGCAAAGAAGCACATGCGGCAATGGAGATGGCCCAGAACATCCTGGCCAAGAGAGTAAAAAGGAAGGGGGGTTCCTTCTGTAAAGGTCAGCTGGTATGGCTAGACTCCCGGAACTTGAAGCTGCTGTACCCGTCCAGGAAACTAGCCCTGAGGCGAGAAGGGCCATTCAAAGTCCTAGACAAGATCGGAACAGTCGTGTACAAGCTAGACTTGCCTAGCACCTGGCGAGTCCACCCCGTTTTCCACAAATGGCTTCTATCTCCCTACTCGGAGATGGAGATCCACGGTCCGAACTACATGAGGCCACCCCCTGACCTTATTGAAGGTGAAGATAACTACGAAGTCGAAGCCATCATCGGACACCAAGAGAACAAGAGGATGCGACACCGTCAATATCGCGTCAGGTGGAAGGGTTACTCAACAGCCGATGACTCATGGGAGCCTGAAGCGAACCTGATAGGGACTGCAGACGAAGTGCTAATGGAGTATAAGAAGAGGAAGAACTTGAGCTGAGTCGACAGCAGCTCAACCCAGTCGCTACATCCCCACTCGCACCAAAATGTCTTTCACTCTCTCATTCCTCGACCAGTTCAACGCCCCCTCGACCAAAGGCAGGAAAAGGATCTCAATCTACACCCCTAAGCACACCCACGTCGGCAACAGCACCTTGCTGACGCTCCTTCTCAGTAATCCCACCGATGTTTTCAACAAGCTCAAAGCCCACAACCCCGAGGCAACCAATGCCACCGACCGCGTTGCACTAGAGGCGTATCTCTCTGCCCGCCACGAACATGATGAGGCTGTCAAGGTAGCCAACGAGGCCATCAACCACCACAAGCGGCTCCTGTTAGAATGACGCCGGAAAGACTGCCGGCAGCCAACGTCCTCAATGGACAGGGATCAATGGTGGATAAGGTTACAAACCGATGGGGCTACCTATGACGCGCAACGCCTACATAAGTCCTATTCCCACACCGGTGCACGACCACGTGACCCGGGCTGGCAGTGACGCTTGCCTGACATACCCAAAAGTCAACAGCTCCTACGCCAACAGGACGACCGTGTCCTCACTGAGCTCATCCGGCTCGACAATTTGAAGGTTGCCCATCGCTTTCAACCGCTGCTACCATGCAACATCCGGGCACAGCACTGAAAATTCATCCTGTGAGCCATCCCCAATGCGTACCTACCTCTACCCACACCCCTACCGACGTCCGCCTTCAGATGACCCCCGATCCCATCCCCTTTCCTCCAAGCAACGCCGCGGAGCACTACTATCCCTGTCATGAGTTGGTACAGCGTCTAGCCATTTTTTAATTTTTTTCCTTTTTGCGGGCTTGAACCCGCGACTTCTGTACTACATGCCTGATATGGACACATCGCTATCTACTGTATGATTAGATTAGATGGGCGGCAGTGCGCGGCACAGCTTGGGCTCCGCTGACACAGCTGCTCTAACTCACTGGCCCCCAGGGCTGCATTAGCATGGTGTGCACGGACCAGCTGTGCACGGACCAGTGCGCACAGCCTGCCCTTATCTCCCCCTGTATATAAGCCAGCCTCTGCTGCCCTAGGGACCTCAGTTTCGACCTCTTGTCCCTAGGTCAGTAAGCTCTCCTGTACTTACTTCCTTTACTTACTAACCAATACATTCTTGTCCCTAGCCTTAGGTTTGAGCGCTGCTCACCATTGCTTCGGTGAGACCCAGTCAAACGCCCCCAGCCTTTAGGTTTTCTCCTGTCGCTTGACCTCAAGTTGCGACATTAGGTCGAAACTCCACAAAGCTGCCAGCGTTCCTCAGAACTCCCACAACTCATCCTCATCTGCGAACAGCAGCCGTGCCCAAATCGGACACCCCGATCGATTGACCAGGACTACCTGAGCTACAAAGCGATCCGAAGAGCGCAACATCTGCTCGGTCCTCGAAGCACCCTTGCATCCCGATCTGCCTCGCGGCATTCTCGCCCTGTCTCCCCCAGCTCCCATCTTCCCCGACTGGTCGCTGGTCCAAGTCAAGCGCGAGGAGATCTCCCTCCAGACCCTGCGCCAGAGCCTGAGCCTGAGGAGAGTGCAGGTGAAGAAGGAGTCTCGGAGTCCGAGTCCGCGGATCCTGCTCAGTCCGCCTCGCCGACAGTGCTCGCCCCCGCGTCAGCAGTCCCTGACGTACATAACCCCCCCACCGAACTTCCTCCGGTGCCTTCACCGCTGACTCCGCCGAGAGGCCGCTTGAGCACTCACTCCTCTCGAAGTTCAACCAGCGGAGGGCCACCACAGCCGCCTCCGCCCCCGCAGCGTCCTCCGTCCCCCCCGATGCCGATAATGTCCTCCCCCGCAACCGCCCCCGATAAGGAGACTTTGAAGCTTCTTCTCCCGTTCCGATACGATGGCAAGACCGTCATCGAATGCGACAGGTTCCTGTTGCAACTCCGCATCTATTGGTTGATCAACACGTCGTTGACGACCATCGAGCTCAAGGTGCAAGTTGCGTTGAGCCTGCTCGATGGTGACGCCCGTGCCTGGGCCACTCCTTACTTCGCCCAACTCGTGTCAGTGCAGATGGGTGTGCAAGGGGTCACAACCCCATTTCAGAACGAAGCAGCCTTCACTG